TAAAAAAATCCATCTCCAGATATCCTGTAGGCCCCAATAGGTATTGGAAGACTGTTATAAGGTCTCCCTGGAGCCTTCTCTTCTCCAGGCTGAACAAGCCCAGCTCCCTCAGCCTGTCTCCATAGCAGAGCTGCTCCAACCCTTGGAACAGCTTTGTGACCTCCTCTGGACTCACTCAAGCAGGTCCACATCCCTCTTGAGCAGGTCTATGTCCCTCTCTTCAGCATCTGAACCGCATATTAGAATTCAGCTTCTGAATTAAAGGCAAGCTGGAATCAGACTCAAATGCTCTTTTGAATTATAGCTTTAACTCCTAAATGAAAATGCCTGAATGTGGGGTGTTGGGCAGCTGCAGCTTTACAGTGAGCCCAAGGCAACCCCCATGCCCTGTGACAGCATCACTGTCCTCCCAGCTCTGCCCAGAGAGGATGAGGTGCTACACAGAATGCAAAAGTCTGATTCATTTCCCTGCTGACAGTGCCACAATGCACCTCCTGCTTGTCTGGGTGTCTGCACTGCAGAGACATGCCCCACACATAACCTGTGTCAGGAATTCAGAGCACACTACCTGTCACGGTGGAAAACAAGGATGAGGAACATGGAACACTTGCTTAATAAATGCTAGCAACTAAATAGCAAGCACAGCAGTTCATATTGCAGCCTGGACAGCATTTTTCTTTCACTATTAAAAAAATCCCTGTTTAAAGAACAATCACAGCAGTAGTTTTAGCATAAAGCATTGGCTTGTCTTTTTATCCTTTTTCACAGTCTGCATCTTCTTTCTACCAGGCACCAAAGGTGGTGAAGCCAATAAAAGAAGATGGCCTAAGGCAGGAACACACATGTGGAATCTTGCACGAGTTTGGAGAAAGGACCTTGAAGGCTCTGTGGGTGTTTCCTCATGTCCCTGTCATTTTGAAATGAACTGTGGATGTCATGTGTTAGCTGCGGGCAGCTCCACACCTGCGTACAGCACAGTCACTCAAATACCAGCTGTGTCCTTGTCATATGCAGGTCAATAGTAGCATCTAACAAGGAAGACAGATTAGAAATACAAATTTAGGCATGACAGCTCTCATTGTTTCCTTAAAAATTACCTTTCAAAATCTAAACCCAAAGTTTGAAAGGAGCACATCTCTCTGGGATGAAAGTTGGAGTGATTGTGAGCAAAATACAACTCATCTCTCTTACCTAGTTTTAACACAAGGTTGCTCCTGTGATTTTTTTGTGCTCACCTGACACGTTTCCTTCCACCATCTCACAGTGAAAGTCTTCTGGGGTCCTTAGACAACCCTGAAAATCTCAGCTCTTGCCTTCAAGGAACATCTATAAACTTGAGCGGGAGCAGGGAAGGGACCATTCCTGAGCGGCTTGGCTACTCCCTCCACAATAAATTGAGGGGAGCTATCACAGCCTCACATTATGATTCGAAACAATAACTATTTTTCTTTGTTATAGGAAGCTTGCTCAGATAAGCCAAAGATTCCCTAAAGCTGATTTTGTTACTGTTAGCAAACTCGTGATGGATGTTGCTAACATGCACAAGGACTGCTGCCGTGGAGACATGCTGGACTGCATGCGTGACAGGGTAAACCTCATTTAACATTTGGGTGTTTGCAGAAATGCAATGCTATTTTTGTGTTGGTTTCAGATTTTTTCTTCTCCTGTGCTGCACTGATTGCTCTCTGAAACTGGAGTTTATTTAACTCTGCAGTCTAAAAACCTGCTTGATTTTCCCATTTGACTTTTTTACCCAGGAGCATCTATGGCACAGCAAGCAAGGGGCTGCACCAAATAGATCAACAGGGCTTCAGTCTTCTTCCCTGTTATACCAGAGTTGCATGGCACAGCTTTGATCAGCCACCTCTTCTCTTTGGGAGTCATCCCCTCCATCTGGAAAATGCAGATAAAAACACTAATTAAAAAAACCCTCCAAAGACCAGAATCTCTAAAATTTCCTTCATTCCTTTTTCTGCTTTACAGGAAGAGCTTCTGCACTATGTCTGCACAAACCAAGACATCCTATCAAGTAAAATAAAGCAGTGCTGTGAAAAGCCTCTGTTACAAAGAAGTGAATGCATAGTTAATACAGAAAACGATGACAAACCTGCAGACCTGTCCCCCGATGTCAGGGAGTTTATAGAAGACAAAGGAATATGTGAACGTTTTGCCCAGGAAAAGGACACACACTTAGCCAGGTAACTTGGGTCTTCCTCAGCTCTTCCATTTTTTTGTGTCAATACGTGGGTCACAAGATGACACTTTGGGCATAAAAGTCCAGCTCATCACCCTCAGATCTGTCTGCTCTGGGAGCATGTAGGCTTGGGATACTTAGTAAACCACCACTCACCCCTAGAAGGTGTGAATGCAGAGCAAATGCATTCTGCAAATGTGGGGCAGAGCACAACTGTTATTTCAGAGGCAAAATTGAAGAAATGCCTGTGAAATTTAGGAACCACCAGTTCTGATTTCAGGCCCCAGCTACAGCTTTGATATACTTTTCAGTGTTGAATTCAAAACACTTAAGTCAGACTCACATCTTGATTCAAATGAGATCAGTTGGTTTCTGTTCTAGCCATCTTCCTTTGTGCAATGAAGCCCTGATCCTACCCTTAATAAATTTAGGCACAAATGCTCCATGCTGCAGACACAGCATCAAGTCCCAAAGACAGAGAATTCACTTCAAATAACATACATCAGGTCTACTTATGAAAATTTATTGGGTTAATCGCTGTGTAGGGCAACTGCTGCAGCAGAGCTCATCTCTTCAGTGTCTGCTGAGAACTGAATCTGTTACTGCAAATTATTTCATGATCATTAGGCAGCTCTTTTGGCTCATCTCTAATTCCTGGTACTCCACATATTGCAGGTTTCTGTACGAATATTCCAGGAGACACCCTGAGTTTTCTGCCCAAATGCTTTTAAGAATTAGTAAAGGATATGAGGACCTACTGCACGAGTGCTGCAAGGCTGGAGCTCCAGAGGACTGCTGCAGCAGAGGGGTGGGTGCTGTCAGGCTGCACACCGCACATACTGGTGAATTCAAACATATGACCACAGCTCCTGTAACAAACCAGCACATATTACAAGGCCTCCCTATGGAAAAAGCTTCAACAGAGCCTTCACAATCAGCACTTGCGAAGTAATTACACGTGGATAGGCAGAGATGCTGGGAAAAGGCATGGAGCTAAGGTTTCTGTGAGCCCTGCTCTCCGCTGAGTGCTCCAGCAGTGCCAGTTGCCCTCTTCCAGACACAAAAAGCACTTACAGTTATTGTCACAGACCAAGACATGGGCATTGTAAACCTCTCAAGCGAGGAGTTGCCGTGTGTCTCAGACCCAGCCTTCCATCAGTCCTACAAAACTAAATATTTCAAGGTGGTTGAAGGAGGATGTGTATCACATTCAGGCGGTCTACAGAGGTTTCAGATAGACAAAGGCTTTGTATGGAATTAAAAATGGGTGGCATTTAAGCAGGTAAGAAGTAGCTACAGATAATCCAAGCTTTATCTGGAGGGAGTGGAGCATTCTGCATTCCCCCTGGTACAACAACTCCTCAAATTAACTTACTTTTTTCAGGAGGAGGAACTGAAGAAACATATTTATGAAGCTAAAAGTGTGATGAAGACGAGCTGTGAAATTTACAAGGAGAAAGGAGATTACTATTTCCAAAACGAGTAAGGCTTTTTTACATGCTTACATTACTCTAACTACAGTAGAGAGGGCAAACCCAGAGTAGCTGAACCATACACTGTGCTTAAACACAACATGCAGACACAAGCCTCCTGCAGGAACTTTGGGCCTGATTTGCATGTTAATAAGCACATGCCTAACAAAAGTATGTACATAATCTTAACGACACCTTTTAGCTGCTTGCATAGAATTAGGCTTCAGCTGGCCTGCACTGGGGAGACATATTGGGTTTTTTGCCCTCCTGTGCATGTTTGATCTCTAAAAGACCCTGGAATTAGAGGCTTCCAACAAGCCTGGTAGGCTCCTTCTGCCTGTTACATCACTTAAGGTTTTCCTTAAGTTTATAAACAGTTAATAAACTTAATAAACACAGTTCTTAAAAAAAAAAAAAAAAAAAAAAAAACAACAAAAAAAAACCCAAACAAGTATACTTCTTTGAGCTTGTCTTCTGCCCCCATCTAGTCTGCCAAGATGACACCCAAGTCCAATTTTGCTCTTAAACAAGCTCCCTATGCTCCCAGGGAAACAAATAACATGGGGAAGACATAGGTACCATCTCATAAAAGGACCCACTAACACGAAACTGGCAACGCTGCTGTTAATTCTATTTGTTTAACCTGGTAAGAAACTGGTCAGAGAAAGGAGAGAGGTCAATAAAACAAAGCAGGCTTACATGAAGTTCTACACATCAGCCTTAGTCCTGCGGTTGCACTACTGAGCGTTCCGTGGGATTTGACTGGAGCTTTGAACTTGTGAAGGCAGAGTCTTGCTCACTGCTGCCTCATGCACCACCACCACCGACTTCAGAAAAATTACCGTTTCAGGCTCCTCATGAGCTTCACCAAGAAGATGCCTCAACTGACATCTGCAGAGCTGATCAAATTCACCAAGCAGATGACTACAATTGGGTCCCAATGCTGCCACTTAAGCCTGGACAAGCTGCTGCCTTGTGCCGAGGAAAACGTGAGTATTGTTCCTCCAGATCTCAGTCCTATTTCTTCTGGAAACTCTGTCACAAATTCTGCTGCCAGCAAGGTCCAAAAGTAAAGGTAAGTGAAAAGAATATTCACTAAGCTGTTGAGTAGGCCTGAAGATGTACTTCCATGCCTGAACTAAGCATAACTCCATTTCATTGAAGTTAAGGCTCGAATTGAACTACATAAAAAGCTTCAGCACATCATCCAGCCGCCCATTTCTCCACCATCCCCTTTACAAGAGCAGCCACACAGACCCACAGATGCCCCGCAGAGGAGAGCAAGCCCATGCAAGTGTGCTTTATGAAGAAAGCTATCCTGGGTTCAGCTGTAACAATTATTTTTCTCCTTCTTAGCAGCCAGTGCAGTGCTGTGGTTTCAACTTTAGTCTGAGATCAGTGCTGATAGCACACCAGTGTTCTAGTTGTTGCTCAGTAATGCTTACCCTGATCAAGGACTTTCTCAGTCTCATGCTCTGCCAGGGAGGAGGGGAAGCCAGGAGGAAGCAGAGACAGGACACCTGACCCAAACTGGCCAAAGGGGTATTCCATACCACAGCACATCATGCCCAGTATAGAAACTGGGGGGAGTTACCCAGAAGGCCCAGATCGCTGCTCGGGTCGGGCTGGGTATTGGTCAGCAGGTGGTGAGCAACTGTATTGTGCGTCACTTGTGTTTATGGTTTTCTTTTCATTTTCCCCTTTTAGTTTTATATTCTCTCCCTTTATTATTTCCCTTATTGTTATTATTATCAGTGGTAGTAGCAGTAGTTTTGTATTATACATTAGTTACTGGACTGTTCTTATCTCAACCCATGGGATTTACATTCTTTCGATTCTCATCCCCATCCCCCTGGGAGCTGGAGGGAAGAAAGGGAGGGAAGTAAGTGAGCAGCTGTGTGGTTCTGAGTTACCGGCAGGGCTAAAACCATGACAAAAATCACATCATTTCTGTGTGCAAAGGACTGTCCCTGGAACCACACAGACATACTTCTGAAAAATTATTGCACTGACAAAAGCCACCATTCACTCAAAAAATAAACTGTCACTTACCTTACAAAGTTTAATTTAAGCTCTCTGTTATTCTTTATAACTTTAAGAGCAGTGTGTATTTTTGACCATAAAAAAATAATGTAATTTTTTTTCCACTTCTCTTGGTAAAGCTGGATCTTGTGCTTGGAGAAATATGCAGAAGACACCTGACAGCTCCTATAAACCCAGGCGTGTGCCACTGCTGCAGCAGCTCCTATGCTCTCAGGAGACCGTGCATAGGGAAACTGGAAATGGATGAGCATTATATGCCCTTATCACTGACTCCAGGGCTGTTCACTTTCCATGAAGACTTGTGTACAACTGAGGAGGAGAAGTTACAGCACAAGAAGCAGGAGTAAGACGTGTCTCTTCTAGTCTGTTACCCTCCTGTTTCTTATTCTTACCCTGGCCATTAACTTGTGCTGGAGTGAGCCCAAACTGTCCTGAGCCCTGTGGCGTGGTGCACAACAGACACCACCTGAACACTTAGCTCATGGATGATCGTAGAATCACAGACTGGTTTGGGGTGGAAGGGACTATAAAGCTCATCCAGTTCTAACCCCAACACCTTCCACTAGACCATTTTGCTCCAAGCTCCATCCAACCTGACCTTGAATACTGCGCCAGGGACAGGGCAGCCACAGCTTCTCTGGGGTGGACCAACGCTAAAACCTAGCACATATGTTTTATTTCCCAGGGGAACCGGGCACGTCTTTGGTCCCCACTGCAAATACTTATCTGGATGGGCAATAAAAATGAAAAAGCTGTAGAAAGGAAGTGGACAGTAACAGAGGGACGTTGCAGGACTAGGGTTGGAGAAATGCACCATAAGCTGTGTGCTTCCCTTGCTTTGCTCTGCTTTCCTTGCAGGATGCTCATCAACCTCATCAAATACAAACCGCAGATCACGCAGGAGCAACTGACGGCCATCACAGCTGCCTTCGCTACCATGAGGGAGCAGTGCTGCAGAGGAGGCAACCCCCAGGCCTGCTTTGCCAGAGAGGTGCCCTTTCTGCTTCATCTTATTCACAATGGAAACAGGGAGTATATGCAGGAGGAGGAATTGCTTCTTTAAATAGCCAAACCAATTCTGGCTAGTCAGAATTCCTACAGTTCTGTTTCCAAAGGCAAATCTGGTTGTCTGCGCACACATTGATATCAATTGATAGTTGCTTCATCACTAAAGGACTTACCTAATTAGTCTTGTGTTTACATGCAGCAACTGATGGATACAGAGCTCAGCTCCATCTGTTGCTTCTGGGTTGCTGCTGGGACCAGACCTGTGAAGGACATGGACAAAGGTCTTTCCCTGGCTAACAGTTCTGAAATTAACTCTTAATTTGTTAATTTTCAGTTCTGAACTGAATTTCACTTGAGAAGTTCCTCAGCAGCAGGGAGAGAAAGGATTCAGTCACATTTTAGGTCAAAGTATTTTCCCTGTTTGTATTCCCTGCCACTGTTTTCCTCCTCTCTTGGAGCCCATTCCTTGTTGTAGCCCGTTGACCTTCACACTGCAGAGCTACTTCAGCTTCTCTTCACCCTCCAGCAAATCTGCTTTTGCCTGCTTCACGTCTCTCTCTCTGATGTATTCCTTCACTGAGCTTAAACCCTCCACAACCCTTGGCCCTGACCCTCTGCTTTCCTCAGCCTTCGCCTTCCTTTAAATGACAAAATACAAAAAAAGTCTCTCCTGTATTAACAAGTAATTTCCACCTCTGAACACACCAAGCCACACACCTGCAAAGAAACATTCTGCTACCTCCTCCCAAACATCAAATCTCCAAAGGCAGCCTGATCTGAACAGGAAAAGCAAAATGCTTATTAAATGTAGTGGTAAACCTATCTTTGCTCTGCAGAACATTGTATTTACACAACTTGCAAAGACAACAAAACACTACCTACTGCTGCCACACTGGGTAATGGCAGCTTGCTTGTTCACAAACACACCACCACATCACTTTTCTGGCTATTGCTCATAGATACTTTGGTTTTTTTCAGGGTCCAGAACTTATAAAGAGAAGTGAAAAAATGTTATCAGCATGAAGAGCTCCCGCAGCACGTTGGAAGACACTTTGCAGCCTGACAGCAAGCATATCTTTTCTGATATTCATGAAGCATAAACAGGAAGTGATTTGCCAGAGTGCACAACACTACCTTGTGGCTCTTTACTCACAAATCTGAGGAAATCTGGGTGGTTTTACACCACCTACAGTTCATCTGCTGCTGCAAACGAGGGACAAGAGGCTTCTCAATAAACCACATTTCCCATAGGAACTGCTGGGCTGGGGAACTGCTTTTCAGCCAGATGAGGAGGAATCCACACGCAAACCTCACTTATGGTTCCTGTCACAGTGATTCAGAATTACTAAGGAGATGTAAAATTTAAGCCAAAGCAAGTAACTTAAAGCCAGTTAAATTTCTTAGTTGTTCAGGATCCTTAAGCATGCAAACCTTAAGAGAGAAAGCACATTACCTTAAGGAAATCCACTGAAAGAATAATGGAAATTGTCACTAAGGATATAAATCATGAGACCAAAACCCATTCATTAGGTTTGTGGCTGACAGCAACGTGGAGCCACACCGTTGCAAACCCCTTTACAATTCTCAAATGTCAAAATCACCTTGGCAAATTAGAGAGACAACCTAGAGGAAACCAGCTCTGTTCTACCAGGACAGACTTCACACATGACACAGGAACGGTTAAGCAGCTGTACCATTTCACTACAGGAGAACTACTCACTGGGGAGCTGTGAGGTTACCAGGCAGTTATAAGGAACCACAGGCCCAGAGCCACCAACAGTTGGCTGCTAATTCAGGTCTAATTTATTGCTCATATACTGGGGGCATAAGCAGAGCAACAGCTAAAACAGAACAAGGCTTTACTAGAGTATCAGTGGTGGTTTTGATACCCAACCGATAATCAGATGGCCACCTTGGGCTTCTTCAAGTACTGCAGCTTAAAGATGGTGATCTAGATCAGTCTTCTGGAGTCTGGGGGTTGTTTGGGGGCTTTGGCCTTTTTTTTTTTTTTTTTTTTTTTTTTTTTAAGATTTTGATCAGTGATGACTTGAGATTTTCCTCTGGGGGAAGCTCAGTCATATGAATTCAGGTAAGAGACAGACTCTCACTGCTGTCTGTGTCACTAATGGCTTAGGCTCCCAGTTCAAAAGCAAGCCCTTTTGCCTCTGTCTTTTCTGCTTTTCACTGCTGTGTTACCTGGACTATCCAGTAAATCTTCAGAATAAACTCTCCCCTGTTCTCACTTGTATTTGTCAGAAATTATTCCTTTAATCCAGCACAGCAAGACCAAAGCTTTATTGCAGTAGTTCCTCAAACCCAGCATGCTCCAGTTGGTGCATGCATTGTCCCATAGTCATTTCCCAGCATATTTCTGTCCCTGTCCAGCAGGACAAGTGAAATAAAAATATTTCAGCACCAGAAGGTGGCACAAATGGCTCAGTTTAGGAATTGTGTTCATGCACAGAGGACTGAAGAACCTGCTTGAAAACATTTTCTCTCTTTTCCACATGGTCTGAGCATTGATTTATCTTTTCATTGCAGACCAAGGAATTATGAATATTTCCTATTCCAGTGTTCTCATAACTGCACCTTCGCACAATTACTCAAGCATTTAGGAAAATGAACATGTGATAGAAACAGTCTCTTCTGCATAAAAATACTTCAATATCCTCTCCTGGTTCAAATGAGAAAGATGCCATAGCACAGGCCAAGATCTCTGTAGCACTTACCCTTTCCCAAGGAAGTCAGACAAGCTTGTGTCCCTGCTCCTGAATTTGATCTACCTGAACATTGCTTTGCAAAGAGGTTCCAACTTGTCTTTACAAGAATTCAGGCAGAACCAAGCACAGAGATACACACAAAGCTGTATGTCTGCTCTAGCACCATTTCCATGGTACATCACTATTGCACCTGGTGCTCAAAACTCACCTGGCCTTAGAGGAACAAAAACCTCCACCCATGACATGGCTGAAGCAGCCACTTTTGCTTGGGTTTGGCCGAGAACTTGGCCATGGCCTTCTTCAGACTGCAGAGATCTGACATTCCATGACCTGTGACGGTTTAGGGCAAGTTTCACACCTCCAACAGCTTGGGTAACAGGTACTTCAGTGGAGCCTGGGGACACGTCCATAATGCCTGCATACACACTTCTGGTGCTTTAAGGAACTTAGATTTGCACCTGTAAGGCAACTATTACTTAAACCCATGCATCTTAACTGCTGAGTTATCTTCATTTCTTCCCTCTCTGCAACCTCGCCTGTAATTATTTTCTGGGCAAGACTGTAATAGACTGCACATTCAAATAAACCCCTTGGCCCAAACCACAATATCTTCAATTATGACTTGTCATTTTTAAATCACCATCATCTTGGACAATGATAAGTTTTCCATATTTGATTTATTCTACATGATTTCTAGGCACCATTTCCCACACAGTGATTCCTTTCTTCTCACAGTGTTTATCTCATTACCTGCTTCAGGTAACTGATGCAAAACACAGATACCACGTAAGAGACAAACTAACAGAAGAGGGCAATTCCTCAGGCACAAGTTGGATTTTATTTACACCTTTACAGTTTGAGCTTTAGTATTAAGCAGGAGCCATCTGGAGAAGACCCAGCACACTGTGCCAGGGTAGGCTGCACCAATACTGCACTGAGGCCATGAAGTCTACACCTCACAGAACACTTCTCATTTCCACCCTTAGATAAAAAACTCAGGAATTAATTTGGAATCTTTTGTTTCAACAACAAAAAACCCTGTGGTGCCTCCCAGGACCCCAAAAGCAGATCCAAGTGTTTAGTTTGAGCTCTTAACATGGCAGTTCAAGGGATATCACAGACATAAGCTCCCCCTTATGTTGAGGAACTGACAAGCTGTTAAGTGGGAAGGTTGCCATTTGTATTTTTTTAACTATAGCTCAAAGCTTAACCAAGTTGAACATCTACTGTTCAGAAGCCAGGGGGATTTCAGTCTCTTGCACAGATATTCTGGGGGTTTTTAATTTAAGTGAAAAGTTTAACTGCAACCTTAGATACATAAATATCATTTGCCACTTACCTCTACTGAAAAGCTTTCTTCTAACGTAATTCAACATTTCTGTAATAGAAGGAAACCCATATATATAATTCTCCTATTTTCTGTACAATTAACACACTGGCTATTGCAATATTTTTCTCACATGCTAGACTTCTCATACCAGTCTATAAATTAGTAGGTTTTAGAGCCTTGTGCTTTTCATAACAATTTTTCCCCTCTCTTAAGCTATATTCAGTCTTTCGGGGGGGTGTAGTGCAACTTCTGGGGCGATTCCCAACTTGTGTTCCAGAGCTGTAGGGGAGCAGGATCAGTTTCAGCTGCATAATTATGAAGAGAAGCTTCAGCATGTGGAACCCTCCTGTGCCATCAGGGCTCTGAGGTCCCATCCTGCTCATGCCAGTGCGCTGACCTTCCTCAGGTAGAGGAGTGTGGGGTGTCCATGACAGGCCCTTCACCTCAAACTGTGGTCTCCGTTCTTCGAGCAGTTCGACTGTGAATGTGCTGACATATCAATCTCTTCTCTCTCAGGTACCTGAGATGGAGAGAGAGAAAAGGCATTTCATCAACAGAATCCTGCAAAACTTCAACCCAAACTCTAACAGGCAAGTTGAATGGCTGAGAAACATTGCCATGAAAGCTTTTCCCATAGCAATTGCTATTCTCTATTGATTTTTTTCTTTATATTTCCTGGCTATTTTGATTCAAAGAGATTACCACACAGGCAGCTGCTAACAGCTCCACAGCTGGTGCAGGCTGTCATTGCTTTTGACCTCAAGACCCATACACCTGTTCGGAAACACCACTGTGTTTCTAATGTGTACTGGTTGTGCATTTTGAGCTACCACCACAAGAACTTGCAGCATTTATCACAAGTGATGTTTTAAAGGGACATTAAGAAATTAGCACGAAGCTCCCTTAAATGCCATGCTACCCAAGTCCAACGAAATACACAGCAGCAAGCAGAAACTGAGGAACCAGTGTGAGGCTCAGAAAACAAACAAAATAAAAATGAAAGTGTCACTGAAAGTCAGAATCTCCTGGGAAGATCCGCCCATATGTCTGTGGTCAGTATTTATTCTGCAGTCTTTAACAGCAGCAGCTCATCTGGGTATGCAGAATATAGAAAAGAGTATAAATCCCATTAAGCCTCGCTTAAACAATTGCAGCACAGTGACTCTGCTATAGAAACCACTCCCTTCTTGAGCCAGCCCCTAATTATGAATATTCTCCCGGCTTCAACGTGACCCCACTCCTTTTCCTTCTATTTGCCTTGCAACCGTCTGTCGAATCTCCTGTTGTTCTTCTTCATTTATTCTATGCAGAATCGATTCCAAAAAGGGAAGATGGAACTGAATATACTGAGCAACCTAGCAAGAAGACAAGAAATGCATGTCAGCAACCACACTAACTAGGAAGAATGGTGGGAACTACTAGAAGCGGTGGAATACGTACATCACTGCTGATCTCCTCCACATGTCTGTCCATGAGGAAGAACTTGGCAATCTTCTCTGAGGGCCCCTGCAGCAGTCTGTGGAGTAAGGGGATGTCCCCACTCCTCAGTTGCTTCTTCTCTGGGATTTAAAAGAAACATGGTGATGCAGAGAACACACAACAGTGCCTTGGGGTGCCTCACACAACCAGTAACCCTTTTTCTTGACAAAGACCCTGAATTCAACTGATGTACAGTTATTAGATAACAAACAAGGCTCCAACGCATATTAGCAGGAGGATGTGGCACCTCACTTATGCTATGTATGGCCAAAGAAATGGGCAAACACAACAGAAAGGACCTGTGATTTAGGTAGCCACATAAGCCTGATCCAGGCCCACCCATCAGCTCGACCCTGACTCCCTTACAAAACTTACTTCATAGACTTCAAACATCATTTCAGCTTCATAATCTGACATTTAAGGTATATGCCCATCAGTTCTCTCTCCCATTCTTTCAGGTATTCCTTTTAATAAGGATCAAATTTCCTATTTCCTAAAGCAAGAGTGTGTTGCAGAAGTAAAAATTTTCCACCAAAAAAAGATCCTTTTAACTAGGGATCCGAAATTATCCACTGAAGTATCCCACATCCCACGGTTGTCACTGCGCAAAGCAATGGTTAGGGCAGAAAAGCTTTTTAACACGGCCTTGGAATGTGGGAACACCAAAGGCCCTGTTCAGCCTTCATACATGACCAGCTATACCAGCACACAGTTACCCAGGTTCTCCCCTCCACCAGAGGGCCACACCTGCCCAAGGGGTCTCCGGAAGAGCCGTGAAGCCACACAGCTTCCACACTGCCCAAACAAGGATAGATGCCTGGGATGAACCCTGTCACTCTGAGTCCAGCCATTACACACACACACACACACACACACACAGAGGGTCACTAGAGATAAAGGGATCACACAGCAGTGTCCAACTTACCTCCAGATGCATGGATAATATAAAGTGCAAATTCATGAGGGCTGTTTTCTATCTGTTAAACACAAAGAGATGAGATCTTAGGAAGAAGTTCTTCCCCGTGAGGGTGCTGAGGCGCTGGCACAGGTTGCCCAGATAAGCTGTGGCTGCCCCATCCCTGGCAGTGTTCAGACTGACCCAGCATTTCGCTGCCAGCAGATACTCTGTGCTTCTCAATTCAGGTATTTAAATCAGAACCCTGGGATTCACTTGCCCACACAACCACCTTCAGTAAACGGCAGCCCTTTTGAACAATTACTTTTCAACTTATTCTCTACAACTTCCAACCTGCTCTGTAATTCCATTCCTCGTGTTATTACTCAGAGAAGTCAACAGAAGTCGCTCTGCCACAGCAAAGTCTCCAGGCAAGTTATAACAAAACAAGGTAGTTTCAGACAGCCTGGCACTGATCTTGAGAACTGCTTTTAACTCTGACTGTCTGGAGCTTCCCATGTGCCCGAATCTAACAGAACCCATCTCCCAGACCATTGAGCTAGAAGAGAATTCCCAGCTGTGTTAGGCACAACACAATTGCCAGGGTCCGCCACTAGAGGGAAGCAAGGCCATGGGCATTGCACAGATGTGTCTGTGCTAGGAAAGGCTCTAAGTGCAGCTGCGTTTTCCTCTCCTGGGCTTCAGTTCAAAGAGAAGCGGTTCTCACCTTAAACTTCTGAAGCAATTGTTCTATTACTTGTCTTGTTCTCATCTGGCTGTTGATTCTTATTTTGGTTTCTGATCCAAAAGCTGGAGTAAAAACCGATGTCTAGGAACAAAACCAGCAGCAAAAGGGCGTGAGCGTGAGGGCTGCTCCACATAGCAGCAAGGACCACAAAGGATGTAAACTGGCACAGCTCTGGGACAAAGCAGGCTGTCAGGTGCAGCTGAGTGAGCTGGGCTTGTTCAGCGTGGAGAAGGCTTCAGGCAGCCCTTAGAGCAGCTTCCAGTGCCTAAAGGGGCTACAAGAACCCTGGAGAGGGGCTTTTGACAAGGGCCTGAGGAACAGGACAAGGGGGAATGGCTTTAACCTGACAGAGGGGAGATTGGGATGAGCTCTTAGGCAGGAGCTCTTCCCTGCGAGGGTGGTGAGGCCCTGGCACAGGTTGCCCAGAGAAGCTGTGGCTGCCCCATCCCTGGCAGTGTTCACGGCCAGGTTGGACACAGGGGCTTGGAGCAACCTGGACTAGTGGAAGGTGTCCTTGCCCATGGCAGGGGGTTGTAACTGGATGAATCTTAAGGTGCCTTCCAACCACCCTGTGATTCTATGACAAAGCACAGGTCATGCAGTGTCCTCAGGAGAACACCACTGGTACCAGGACTGCTGTGGACCCCATCATACGGGGTTGAGCTCAGGGCCCACCAACACCCTCCTGGCCATACATGGGGCCATTGGAGAGGTGCCCATCAGCTCAGAGGCCCCCATCCACTTGCTGGAACTCCGAGCTGTCCCAGTACCCAAACCTCAGGTGATGGCACCAAGCATTTGTACCTCATAATTATAGAAGTGGCCATTAATGGAAAACCTGTGAGTTTCGACTTCTGTCCTGGTGATCACTGGGAGCTGGGTCCTGCTCCGCAGAGCTGCTGCTGTGCTGCTGGCCCGGGGCAGGGTGGCGCAGTCCTGGTCCTGCTGGCTCCTGGGCATCAGCGTGCGGCTTTCGTAACAGGAATAACCTGGACAGAAACAAACCTGGATAGCTGCCAGAACCCCACAGCAAGGAACCTCTGGATGGAAGGGTTTCAATATCATCATTATTATTACTATTATTATTATCACAGCCCATTAGAAGTGGCCATTTGAAAAGATACCTGCACAGCAACCTTTTCACTAACCAGCTGCACATCAGTGTTTCACCAGCATGGAGTAGATGTTCAGAGACAGAGATAACCCTTTACTGGCAGGGAAGGCCTAATGTGTCAGATTATATTTGCAGTCACAGAACAAAGAATTTTTAGTGAACGTAAGAACACCAATACTAACTTTCCTCAAGGTTTGCCTTTTCTTCAGTAGATTTCAGTGTGTCCCCGCTAATGTGATGGAGGTCATCAAATTCTCCCCAGCGTGTCATTCCCCTGAAATACAAAACATACATTTATAGTTGATTACTGTTCATTAACCAGTTTGTAGGAAAATATTAAAAATCCGTTTCCTATATATTCAAAACACACTCAACTAACTCCAGTGAAGATGCCAAACAACAACTTGAGTTGTGTTCTCTGCATTTAAAGAGCTCATTTAAGATTAAACAGCCAAGCTGCTCTGCATACCTTCAAGCATGTCAGGGCAGGTTCATGTTGTTCTGATCATGAATTAATATTTGCTTTAAGATTCAGATCTCCACCAGTCAGAAATATTTTTAAGAAATAAAAGGCAAAGCATAACTTTAACTGCCAGACTGACCCCATCATATAGGCCAGATGCACCCTGTCCCAGTAGACCTGGTAAAGGGGAACCAAGAGAACCAGAATTGCCTCAGACTTGAGTTCTTCACTGGTTACTTCTGCCAGGTTACATCCCTAAACTTCTACAGCAAGAGACAAGGAGCAAGACAGTTCCTGACTTTACTGGAACTCCAGAGGTGCAGAGAAGGCAGAATTAAATCCACAGTTCTAACACGTACCACATGCAACCTAAACCAAGAGATAATTAAGAAAATGAGCTCCGAAATACAGAATTTATCAGGGAGTTCCTCAGAGTAAACATTGGCTCAGCCTTCATATTACACATTGTTCAGCTTCAGCTCCAGCTCAGACACACTTCAAAGTTCACCAACCAAGGCTTGAGAAATAGTGCTCAAAACAGAAAGAAGTACTCTGAGAACCTATATCAGTTTTTAAAGCTACAGCAAAACTAGCACGAGTCTCATCAGCAGAATGGATTTGATGGGCAATACCAAAGGTAGCAGCCTGAAGGAGCAGCTGGTGGTGTGTGTTTCTGAGAAAGTCTAATATATGATTTCACACAAAGCCAGTATCCATTTCCTGGCTAGAGCTTTGCCCTGAGAGACAACGCTTTCACACCTGAGGTACCTGGGAAGGTGACCTCCTCCACCTTCTCAGCTGCTTTTCAGCTGAAAGCCAGGCAAAGATGCAACAATGATGAACCTTTCTGCCCAGCAGAAGTTGTTGAAGGACCACCACAGCCTTTGGTGAATCTGGGATGCACAGCCAGACACATCCATTGAACATGAGCTGTCTTTAAATACTACCATGCCTCTTCTTACGGAGGTTAATTCATTACCTTTTGTTAGGGAACAAACCCACATTGTCAGAAGACTTCAGGGTTACAAATGAGGGTATCTGCTTCTCATCCTGAATTTTCAATCGGATTGGATGTCGAATGCCCCAAAATATTGACAAGATTCCTTCAATAAATGGTTTGCTTCCTTCTCGCTGGGGGAACGGAAAAAAGGAACAAGAGTAATAATAATCAAGAGACAATCATTGATTTCCCCTCAAAGTAACAGGAAGATGGTGAAATCATTAAGCCAGCAGAACTGCAGCTTGTGAAGGAGAAACAAGTCCAGATCGCTAAAGCAGGTACTCTGTGGTATGAGAAATGATTCATGCTTCAATCCCTCCTTCAGCTCCATAGAGGATGCGTTTCTGGGGCTCAGATTCCCAACACTTCCCTGCACTAAAGGTTCACGCTCCAGGAGATAACATTATTCTGTCCTTGATGGAGTGACAGTCATCCTACCATTACACACCGGGGGTTCAAGCTGAAGAGTAGGGGAACTGCACCCCACAAACATCTGCAGTACAACTCCCTACAACATCGGTGCCCGTTAGAGTTTTTCCTGCTCTTACATTGTGCTTTCTGTATTACTTTCACACTTACCTGGCTATGTGACAGTTGCAGATTTTCTTGATCAGAATAGTAAGAGTTATAAGTCTTCAGAAGCAAACTGAGTTGCTCTCTAGAGTAAAAGATCACAATGAAAAGAGTTACGTTTTTAACATCCATATCACTGTAAAGCTCTGTATCTCGTACCCAGTGCCGTTTTGTTAATGATTAACACTTCATTTTCCAGAAGTGAACTTTTGTCAGGACACTGGGTTACTTTTAAGTTGCCTCTTTACAGGCCTGATATGCAGAGGAAATAAGTTACTCATGGTCTGCTGTGACGTTAATAACCCTGCCCCAGAATAACTTGTACTTTGGACTTCTGCTACAGTCATGGAGAGAAGCAAACAGGAACAACACTCCCATGCTCCAGCACTGCAGATGATTGCAGTCAGGTTACCAGTTGTTTTCCCTGCATGAGGGCTCTCATTGGGATTTTATATCTTTTTCAGATACATTTCTTATTTCAAAATACCTCCAGTATGTCTAGAGAAAGCATTTCGGTTTCCTTCTGCTTGAGACATAACAGCTTGGCACTAAGTCTTTGCTCAGAGGAGAAAGGATGGAGTTGAAGAGAGCCTCTGCCAACAAGCAGGGGTTATAATCATGCCCATCATCTTGGATTTCAAACAGAGATCAGGATGCAATTACAAAAAGCAGCATAACATTATTCTTTGAAAGTGCTACATTGAGTCAGAAAGGCAACATGAGGCACACTGGTGCTAGCAGTGTTTAAAACTCAGTGTTTAAGAACCACCGGAGATAATTATGCCTGTCTCCATCATTGACAAACTCACATATAGCCCTTGTGAACAAGGCAAGGGGCGATAAATGCCATGTTGTGCAAATACAGGCTGGGGGGTGATTACTTTGGCATTGACGCTGGGGAAAAGCACCTTCTGGTTGCCACTAAGCAGCTGCTGGTCCCAAGTCAGCTGTGCCATGCTGAGATGGAACCAACATACAAGGAGAATATCCTCTTCAGGGCAAGGCTGCTTGAACTACAGCTCAAGGCCCAATTTGGTCAAAGTACTCTGCCTTCTTCACATGACTTTTGGTGAAGGATAAACACCAAGCTGACAGCATCCAAGAAGCAGGGAAGTGATAAGTAGCATCAACTACAAAATAAAAAAGCAAGCTGCAACTCAGGCTAGGGAGGACCAAGGCAGAATTAAGTGATATATATTTCAAGACCATCAAGAATGAAACACTGTCACATAAATTAAACAGCAAAGATGATTTAGATTGAAATTCAAGAAAGCAACTTCCAGCAGCAGAGATAAGTAAGCTTGGGAAACAATTGCATGGAAGCATCCAAATTCTTCCTCATAGACAATCTTCAAGCACCAACTGATATGACTAAAAACAAAGCTGGTTTAACACACTGCTTTGCAGTGGGGAGTGAAAACACCGAGTGTGCTTGCAAATAGAGACTCTTCTTTCTGTGCTTTTGTCTAGCCTGACGTACAAGAGCTGAACCACAGACAGAACAGACAGCATTTGCAAGCTCTTCTCACAGCAAGTTGCACTGAGACCTACTGAAACTACTCGAGACTCATGTACCATCAGAAGTGCTATTACTGTTCCTACACCAACTTTCAGTAAAAAACAAAACAACAAAACCAAACCACCATAACCCCCCCAAAGAACCCCAAACAAACCATACAAAACCAAACCAAACCCCATGCACCTTCTAGCACCATCACTGAAAACCAAATCACACTCGAGAATGATGCTCAGTAGAAAAAGCATTTTACTATTTCAGCAGCCAGAGATCACCACAAACAAAGAAATAATGTGGGATGTGTAGGAATTTTTCACAGTTGTTTCCCTGTAACAGTCACCACACACCCAGAACATGAGGATGGGATCGATGGTGAAAGCAGCACCCTTATTACAAATGAGAAAGCTAAGAGTGGTCTCTCCCCTAGGAACGGGATCAGTTTGTCCATCACTGCAAGCAGTTCAGAAAGATAACTTCAAGGATGAATATTATTGCCCAGCACACCTCTCTGACCAGATGGTGACTCAATGTAGTCAAACTGTTTAAATAGCTCCACAGTTGACTGGGTAAAGTTAAAAACAAACAAACAAAACCAACCAAGAGAACAATGTCAGTGAGTCAGAGGATCTCAACTATAGTACCAAGAAATGGCTTTAACCTGAGAGAAAGGAGATTGAGATGAGATCTTAGGAAGAAGTTCTTCCCTGTGAGGGTGGTGAGGCCCTGGCACAGGTTGCCCAGAGAAGCTGTGGCTGCCCCATCCCTGGCAGTGTTCAAGGCCAGGTTGGACACAGGGGCTTGGAGCAACCTGCTCTAGTGGAAGGTGTCCCTGCCTGTGGCAGGGGGTTGGAACCGGTTGAACTTTAAGGATGCTTCCATCCCAAACCAGACTCTGATTCTATGAGACCAGTGCAAGAGACTAGAAGGATGGATTACACAGAGAAATACAAGTAATTTTGGTTGGAAACTGGTATGTATAATGTTAAGTGTTCCAACGAAAGTATATTCTCCCAGGACTATCACTGTCTTACTCCAGCAGTGTACACCCTCTTCTGTGGCTTATGACTGTGTTATTCAGCCACCTCTTACCATCAATACATACACCCACAGCACCTGGACAACACAGTATCTCTGCATAATGCTAAGCAGAAGTACACCACTGCATGTCTCTACATAGGATACAGACCTGCAGCACCTGATTCTTCCTTCAGGACAAGGTTGGCAGACATCTGATTCTATGTCAAGCAGAGTGCCAAGGTGGGACAGATGGACATGGCTGTGTTTGGGGTATGCAGAGTGTGCCAGTCAAAAGTTTTCCTTGGCATTCCCTATCCTTGCTCCACTTAGACTGAACTTGGCAGCGTCCTTCTGCTTGGTGAGCCTTTTCCCATGGTGAGAAGGGAAAAGATACTCAGGGCTTTTACTCAGCAGGTAACATTAGAATAAAGGCTGCACCATGAACTCAAAAAGGTTAACTGCATTCCCTTCTAACAGATTGGATGTAAATTATTTACTGGAACTTACTGCAACTCTCAAAAGATGTTTTCCAGTGGCACCAAAACAGCATTTTCAACGTTTACTTCAACTGTTAAATCCTAGTAATACAGCTGGTGAAAGCCTTTTTTCCTTTGAGCTGGAATAGCTCATTACAGGTTGTCTCATGAACTGCGAGGATGGTATTCAGGTCATCCCACCAAAAGGGAAAATTCTAATAGACATAGCTATGAATCAGAAGCAATATTGGGATCATACTGGCTAAAGGTAAACAAGATTAAGCATGTCTCTGAGTCATACACAGGCAAAATCCAGATGCAATGTGAGATTAACATGCAAGTAGGAGATAGGGAGCTTTGTTTGACAGATGTTGTGACAGACCTGCTGATCCTGCTTGCACAGTGTTTAAAACATAGGTCATCTTATACTTTGCAGTCTAATATGTTTGGCAATCATTTTATTGATTACCAAGTTGTCATTTTTCAAACTTTACCCAAGTAGAAAGTTGGGGTGATCAGTTTCCTGGAGGCCCAGATCATACTCTGGGGCCCATTTATTACTCTTAAGCCATGCTGGCTCCTAAAGCAAATAAAATTGCAGGCTAAAAGCACTTAATGATGCAGTAAGGGTTCTCTCTGAAGCAGATTTATGTTTCTCTCAAGATTTTTGCTTAGTTTGTCTATAATAACTTCCCATTAAATTCCACAGGACTTTGCCCAGATAAATCTTTCAGGTTTCACTCCTGCATTAGTGCACCCAACAGTGACGAACCACACAAGCCATTACGAAAGCCCTGAGGGAGAGATTTAACAGCAGCCTGCTGACTTGTTTGACCTTGTATAGTGGGGACAGGAGGAAAGAAAAGATTTTTCCTTCTTTTAACCCCAGAAAGGAGTAACACATGCTCCAGCCTATTAGTTCCAGAAGTCTTTCTGTAACACATCTTCAATTACGAAGGCCCAAAGACTGCCCTAACCAGGGGGTGCATGGTCATCTCTGAAGAGCTAAGCTGCCAGAAAATCAGGGGCTCTGTGTTGCAAGACTGTCCTCATAGCACAGCTTTGGGACAGCAGCCAAATGCAGCCGTTACTGGAAGCCTGAGCTAAGTAATTAGTAGAACTACATAGAGACAAACCCAAAGAGGTAATATTTACTGCAGAATCACCACTTGGTTCAGTAATGAAGGCAGGATACAAAGGAGCTGTAAGGTGAGGAGCCCTGCTGGTAAACCACAATACAGCCCAGATTGTCTTCACTTGAAATGCCAAAACAGGACAGTTCACCTGTGCCTTCTCCCTCAATTCCTAGACACTTATCCATGGATATTTATGGCAGTTATTCATAAAGACACAATAGTTCAGCCAGCCAAATGCCCTGGCCAGCCTTTTGATCCAGCCCTTGTACAATTTCCAAACAGCAGGCTTGCTACATCAGCAAGATTCACACAATACAACTGGAAGAGCCTCAATGTAACAGCCAACTGAAGGTATAGATGGGGGATGGTAGCTAGAAAATTGCATTGGAAGAAGCTCAAGTGCATACACAGTATGTCAGTGATTCTTGAAACACTTGGTTTTTTGGTGTCTTTTGTTTTTTTTTTTCCCCAAGGCAAAGTGGCTTCAACCATACTTTAAACCATGACTAAGAGAAAGGTCTTGACCATGATCCACATATCATTACTTGAACAGGCAATAACAACTCAAACACATTGGCTCATCTGGTACATTTCCAAATGCTTTTATATGCCAAGCATATAAAAGTTCACACAGATTAATTACCTTTAACATAAAATCACTATGTCCCAAATTAGTAGCAGTATAAAAGGAACAACTCTTTAGGAGAAGGATGCATTTATTGTCTGCATGCTTTGGGCAAAGCTCTGACACCCTTAAAAAGGGAGAAATTCACAGTACTACTCGTGCCACATATAGAAGAGTATCAGGATTCAGATGCAAATACCTATTGCAGTGTGAGAATATCTATTACAGGCCCCATCCCTAGATGCATGTGTACTTACCTTCTTCCCACAAGAATATTAAGAGAGGTGGAAATGAAGTGAAAGAAGAGCCCTCTCTTCCAGCTCCTATGCTCTGGTCAACAAGGGAAAAGCTATTTCCCTAGAAAGGGGATGGAGCTATATGGCAGGCAGCTCTGGGTTCATGGAAGCATTAGGAAAACTTCCTGCCAGCCAGATTTAATCAAGGGAAAGCATCCCATGAAAAACTGTTCGAGTGCAATTCCAAGCTTTTTACAAGGAGGTTAAACAACCACTTTACACAGAATAGAGCTGGGAGCCTAGCAGATCTTTTGCAAAGAAAACCCCCACCTGTAGCCACAGACCAAATCCTGTGCCTCGAACAAGCAGAGCTCAAGTGGAACTCTGGAACTCATTCCAGAGTTAAATTCCAGTAGATTCCAAAGATAGGAATGTCATCTTTGCTAACTTGGAATTTTATCCTCTAAAAGTGCTGTTCTACACAAACAAAATCTACAGACCAAGAAGTTTAACACTTGGTTCTTTAAAATCCATATAAAGGGCAACTTTGTTCTGGAGACACTTGACAGAATGCAAGTTCTAGGAATTGCTGCTGCTACAGGCTCAGCTCTCTACAGGATTCCCTATTAATGAAGAAATACAGAGTGATTTGAAAGAAAGCAGCCAAGTCATTAAGTGGTTTTGGAGTTTTTTTAGTAGTTTACCTGGTTATGAACTTCTCCTCATTGATGGAAACAGAAGGTAGATGCTGTGCTTTCATAGTCACTTTCTTCATTTATTCCAAAGAGAAGAATCTAAACAAAAGGTTAAAACAATAATTATAGCCACTAATGCCACTAAGAAAGACCAAGTAGTAAACACAACCACAAAGCCTCAGTTTGCCAAGTGAAACAGGATGAGACTCAAGCTAAGGGTTAGCTACACTGCATTTTGACCTCTTTGTACTCAGCCCTAATACCCATGTATTTCCCACTCCTAGTAAAAAAGCCATAGGACATTCCCACCAAGTGTATCACAGTACCTTAAATCATAGAATCCCAGATTGGTTTGGGTTGGAAAGGACCTTAAAACTCACCCAGTTCCAAGCCTCTGCCATAGGCAGGGACACCTTCCACCAGAACAGGTTGCTCCACGTGGCAGCCAATCTGGCCTTGAACACTGTCGGCAATGGAGCAGCCTCAGCTTCTCTGGGCAACCTGTGCCAGTGCCTCACAGGGAAGAACTTCTTTATCCAAGTACTACATATGCCAAGACTTTCTCAAGTAGTTTTAGGACCACTCCACAGCTCCATGATTACACTTCACTCATTAGCAGACAGACTGCAACTGCTGGTAAGCATTCACTGGTTAGTTATGGATAAAGCATTGGACAGGGTCACCAAAAAAAACCCCTAAGTGACTCAGCAAACCAGCCCTTAACTGGGTTTGTAGAGCTAGACAAGAGAAGAAGTGCTGGTCATCAATAGTGTCCTGCAGTGCACAAAGAAAGCAGCAAAAAGATGAAAGAGAGCACAAGGCTATAATTAAAGTGATGTAGCAATATAATTTACAGATCTCCATGCTGCAATTCCAGCACATTGTGTAGGCAGCAAGCCAGCCCCTTAAGACTTCAACAATGCATTCTTCAATAAGCTTAATTACGAAGTCTTGGCTGCCTTTATTCCCCCTCGGGTACTAGAAGAAAAGGCAGACTGAGGAAAGTAACTGAAGAGGCTCAGACTTAAGATTGACAACAGATACTGCACTAAAAAAACTTAGTCTCAGCCCAAGACATGGCAACACACAAAAAGGCTGGGGGGTGGGAGGGGGTAGGTGGGAAAGATAAGAAGGAAATGAGCTCCACAGAAAACAGTAACATCTGAAAGGCTGCATTGGAAGTGCATCTTTTATTTCTAAATATTAATTGTATTTCTTACTGCAAGAAATACTTGTATTTCTCTCTTACATAGGCATGATGGCAGAGGCATTCACTTAACAGCAGTTGATGTCCTTTCTCCCTCACGCTGGGAGATGGACTTGAGCCTGATTTCAGACTGTGTGGACAGAGCCTGGTGTAACACCTCTGAAAAGTAGTTTGTTGTCTACAGTACTAATACCAAGTAGCCTTCAGAAAATCAATTTAGGAAAGAAATCCAGGCTTGGAAATCTCATGGCTAGCTAGCGAGTAAGTGCCTAGCTTCAAGTGATCCCACACTACTGAGCTCCTGGTTTAGAAGTTACCTGAAGTTTCCATAGTCATACAAGAATAACTTCTAAAATAAACGTGGACAAACAAGAAGTTGTGTAAAACCACAGTATCTTCACCCTACACAACGTCTAGGACATTGTTTCACAACTTTTAAACCCAGGGTGCACTACCAAAATGAGCTTTACATGAGCAGCTAGGGTTTCTAGCAGCACTGGATCAGTAGCTCACGAACAGGAGCAGGAGAGATCCCACGTCTCATTGTCCTGTGGGTGACATCCACCACAGCAGAAACACACGTGGAATCTGATAACCTCGGGGACTTCTGTACAGCCATGAGTTTGTATAGAAAGAAGAGATCACTGTATATGATCAGTATAATCTTGTTCTTTCTTTGTCTCTGAAATGAGTTGAGTTCAGTAACCATTTGCCACCTGGTTTTAGGTGATTTACAAATACCTCCAACTGAATTGACTGCCTATGCCAGAGTATTTCAGACCAATTTTAAATGGTGCAGAGGAACTGATGTACATTGGCACCTGGACAGCTGGATGTACACTTTAGCTTCCTCCCATCCATCAGGAAGCAACACGTTAAGAACATCAATAACCAAGTTACCAGTACTACTGGTAGCAACTCCAGCAAGCTTCTGCACTGCTTCATTGCTGGTAGTGGCATTCTTTTCAATATAATCTGACCTTCATCTGATTCATGTAAAAGAAAAGCTCAGACTGAGAAGTGATCTTTACACAAGAGATGATAATCACTGAACTGTTTTGTTACAGTGAATGGCTTTTGCTGGATTATTTGCCTTAAAAACCTTGGGCATATCTTAAATCAGCTGTATGCCATTAAAATGCTGACAATGAAACAAAGAGTAGTTGGTGATGGGAACAATTCCCCACCAAAGCCTCCCCCTTGTCCCTTCCTCAGTGCCTGGACAAAGACTGGCCTCTTCTATAGCTGGTGCAGAAGCACAAAAAGCTCATTACAGTGATGTAACCAGTTCTGCTTATCAAACTTGTACAAAACACTTCCACACCACCAGCTCACCCTAGAGATAAAACACTCCATGTACCCTTCCTAGAAGCTCACACATCTCACAGCCCTCATTTTTAGTTAACCCTGAAACTTACAGGTTGGGAACATGCAGTGACTTCCCCAGCACAACTACTGGACACTACAAATGACATTATATTTATACTGGTGCTCTGTAAATCCTGGCAGATATTCTATCACCAGCTGGTATTTTCTTGTTTTCCAGGTTACTCTCCTGTAGTTCTTTTGATGAAGCAAACAGAAGTGAAATGTGGGTTGCCTTCCCCCCCCACCCCGCTTCTTCTCTATGATTTAAACTAACAAAAATAGGCTGATTTTCCAGTTCTTCCAATGATATATGGTTCAGGCCATCTATTCAAAGCAGTCTCCTACCTTGCTTAGTGTTAGACAAGTGTCTTCATCATTACATTAAGCTGGACTAGAACCACAGAATCCCCTCATACAGGTAAGAACTTAAAGAAGCTAAGACTAACCTCCTGATCTGAGACTTCAGTAAGAAGAAACTTAAAGCTCAGGGGGAGACTGAAGCCTAAAATACTTTTGAAAGAATTAAAAAAGCAGCAGAAGGGAAAACCAGGAGTAAATGAAAAGTGGGGCAGGTAGAAAATGAGCAACTCCAAAGGAAGACTGTTAATGGAGAGGCAGATAAGAGGACTTGTTTAATTTCAGCAAGCACAGTGATCCTGAAGTTATTTGCTTAAAGGGACAGCAGAGGGACAGGACAACCAAGGAATGACAAAGCAAAGGTGAGAGCAAACGGCCACACTGATTTTTACACAATGATAAAGGAAGCAACTGTAGAGGAGGGCTGGAAGAAGAGGAACACCCCACATCCAGAGCTGAGGCCAGCAGGAGCAGGAAAGCAACATTCTAATTCATACATAACAGCCTGGATGTGCTTTTTTGCACATCTCTATATTAAGGTGGGGACTGTCAAGCAAGCAGCACACCAGTCTTAACTAAATGCACAAGCCTCCCCAAAGATTCCTAGGCATATTGACCCAGTGCTTCCGCAAGCTATCATAAAACCACAGGAAGTCAGGATGGGGTGAACCTTCTCCCTTTTGTGTGTAGAAACCCCAAGGCTCAGTTTTCTTAACTCAGCTGTTAACACACACACGTACAGCACAATGAGCTTGGCGCTGTAGGCACACCTATACCCAAGTTGTGTTCTGGACTCAGAAGTGTCTGATATTCAGCTAAATTTTGGACCAGATAAAAACAAGTCAAGGATTCATTCACATACATGAGAAATGAAGCATCAGCAGAATACTTTTCCTCACCTCTACCTAGTCACACATTATGTTAGCCTTCATGTTGTTTGTTTCTTTAAGTTCCATGTCCTCACCGGTGAAACAAAGGTCTAACCAAAAGAAAGCACTTAGGCCAAACACTTGCATTTTTCCCTACTGAAAACAAGTGTTTCTTTGGGTTTTTTGTCTTGCAGACTCCTTTACTGTTTAAGAACTAGTTACTGCAGTACAGAGCAGTAACAGCACTACTTGAGTACAAAACACAGCTCAGCCCCTCTGCTCAGGCAGGTTCAGAAAGGGCTTTGGTGGCTGAAACCAGAAGTAAGTTAGTGTTAATCAGTGAACATGGCCCCTAACTTTGAGTCAAGGGGCGACACACACGAGCTCCCTTCCTTCACACAACAAGAAAGCAGGGCTTGTATCAAATCTATTCCTAACACTAAGTAATCCATTCTTATGAAGAGAAGTTACTTTTTTTCCCAGGTCCCTTAGGAACAGTAGCTTTTACTTGCCAAAAAGGGCAGACAAGGTCACTGGTGTAACCTTCGCAATCACATTGAATGAAGAGCAGCAGAGGCTTGTGCCCATGCACACGCTGATCAACAGCAGCAGCACTTCTATTATCTGCCTATTTTAATCACAGCTTAGTCCCACAAACCACCTTGAGAATTAGGAACTTCAGCAGCTTCTGACCAAATACTTCTCCCTTCATCCCTCCAGCACCCCAACCGCCCAGAATGAATTCAGCTGGAGTTCTGGGTGACTGCAAAGGACCTTGCTTCCTACTGACACCACAGGCTGCACAGCAAGCAGAATAGCTCCAGCGTTACACAGCACTTACCTGCACACAGGATCAGAGCAGAAGCAGAGGAGGAGTTTCACATACCTTGCACTGAGCTCTGGAGAGGCATGACAGCAGCGCGCTGCTGACAGCTCTCTCTGCCACTTCAGGGAACCCACAGAGCCCTTAATTACTGTTTTGCTTCACAAACTGCGAGTGCTGGAAACCCAGGACACTCCCCACACCTCAGAGCATGTCGGGAATATTTACCTACCCACTTGCCTCCCTCCACGCTGCTGACAGGAGCTCTCTTAGTCATGGTTACACCTATGGGGAGGCTCTGGTTAACACTTTAATCACTAACTTTATAATGAGAGGCAACCTGCTGACTCCTGGTGATTGTTTGCTGACAAGGTGTACCCTGAAACATCCTGTGCTGGAAGCACTGTTAGGCTTTAACCTTGTCTGTTTAGTAATCCATTGGATAAAGTAATTTTT